GCGCCGCCCTGCAGCCCCTGTATGAATTTATCTTTTCATATTTTCATACTTTTTAGGCTGTTAACTTCTGTGACCAGACTTTCGGTTGTTTTCTGTGTTTAAGTCATAAACGTTAAACACGCAGCAGAAAAACACATAAAACTGTAAAGAACAAACGAAAAGCCAAGTTACATGTCCGTGGATCATTTATTCAAAGGCAGCAATGACTGATAAATTATCGTCTTTAAATATGTGTCAGTAAAGTTTTTAAAAACGTTCTAGTCAGAGATTCAAAAAGTTTCCCGTAAACATTTCTGGGCGTCAGATTGTTGAGTTTTTAGCAGAACACTGCTGTTGGAGTCGGACTCTGTGTCTGTGACAGGAGAAAAAAACAACATATAACAGTTTGAGGCTTTAATTTTATTGCAATAAATCAGTTGAAGGAGCTGAAAGTCTGCATGTATCCGTACACGTCTGTGCTTATTTACATTATAATCAGAATAAAAACTTTGTGGACGGGAGATAAAAATCTAAACACTCAGAAGAGAAAAACTACGAGTGACAATAAACACACTTCTGGGTGATATCAGTGCATATAGATCAACATTTTGCTGTCAGAACTTTTACAAAAAAAGCTTAAATATCAGACAGATGTGAAACAAAAACGACAGAAAGAAAAGATGGAACAACGTCGTTAATGTTAGTCATGATTAGAAATAAAAACCTGATAAAAAAAATCTTATAACGAGGAGAAAAACCTTTGAAACCCAGAAATCAGCACCATCGACCGTCTGAATGTCATTTATCTGTGATGGAAAAACATGCAGATATTAACAATCTGCTAAAACATCAGAAAACAACAGAATTATTTTCAGAGATCTGAAGGAGATGGAAGCAAAGGCGGAACAACGTCCTCGCTGAAGGAAATCAAATAATAAATAATCATTCATATCGGCCACATTTTAAACAAAGCAGTGATTAAAAACAGAAAAACATTTCTTGTTGCGTTATAACGAGGACAAAACCTTCCTGGACGGCACCAGCCTGGACAGGAACTTTCGGACCTCTTTGGACTGAACGCCGTAGATGATGGGGTTCAGGCTGCCGGGGATGATGTGGAACAAGATGGCCGACAGCTTCCTGTAATCTGAGTACTGGGGGAAGCGGTGCAGCGTGATGATGGACATCCCGTTGAACATCATGATCAGATACACCACCAGGTGAGTGCTGCAGGTCTTCAGGGCCTTGCTGTTCAGAGACTTGTTCCTGCTGATCAGACAGACCACGGTGATCCTGGTGTAGGTCAGAACCATGGTGCCGATGGAGGCGGTGAACAGAACCACGGTGAACGTCAGCCCGTACACGTTGTTGATGAACACGCTCTCACAGGACAGCTTGAACAGCGAGGCGTTGTCGCAGAACGGGTTCGTGATCAGAGTCCTGCAGCGGTTCAGCCGGATGGTCAGACCGAGCAGAACCGCCACCAGGACGAAGGCCACTCCCCAGGCCGACACCGTCAGCTTCAGCACCATCCTGTTGGTCATGATGGAGGCGTAGCGCAGCGGGTTGCAGATGGCCACGTACCTGTCGAACGCCATGATCATGAGGATGGTGTGGGAGGTGGTGCCGAACATGTGGGTGGTGAACGCCTGGACCACGCACTCGTAGTAGCTGATGAGGCGTCTGGACGGAGGCAGCAGGATGTCGGAGAGCAGCCGGGGAACCATGATGGAGTTTCCCACAATGTCATTAACGGGCAGGTTGCAGAACAGCAGGTACATCGGCTGGTGGAGGTTCTTGTCCAGGAAAACCAGAACCACGATGCCGATGTTGGCGACCATGATGAGCAGGTAGGAGGACAGGAAGAAGACAAAGACGGGATACGTGGACACCTCGGCCACCTTTATCCCCTCCAGCTGCAGGGTGAAGCTGTTCAGCGTCAAGTTTTCCATCAACCTGAAGCAAAACCAGGAAATATCAGCATGTACACAAACGGCTCCACACCTCTGACAAGTAGTTAAAGCATTGAAGTATTCACCAGGTGCTTCTCTTCTTCCGTTCAGGAACCAGATGAACTTCTGGCCGACAACCGCAACCTCCATCTCCATCTTATAAAGAGAAGGACTCATCGGGGACGGACACCATAGCATCCAGGTGGTGGGCGTAGAGACTGTCAGCACAGTTACATCACCCAGCTCACAACCTTCAAGCAGCTTTGGACAAAGATTCTGTGGTATCTGATGTTCTACCCCATGAGTTTCAAGGTTTGTGACAGGGTTCCCCAGGTCAAATGCTACATCTGGTTTGGGGTGTTTTCAACATGAGTATTCAGGTCAAAGGTTACCGAAGGAAAGTTGCCTCATTGTCTAGAGGTTGGGTTTCCCATATGGTATGAATCAGTGGTTCTTAGTTTGACATAAACAACTCCCCTACATGGTCACGTTTATTCTGGAGAGTGATTCTTCTTTTTGGCTTCGAATCCTCTCACAGGCGGACCATGGTGTCTCAGATATGGTACTTGTTTAAATAAACTCATATACACACAAGACGGTATCAGCGGAGAATTTCTTCATCATCTTCACATCATCGCTACTCAATAAAAAACTATTCTAAACACAATTTTAACTAATTTGGGGCAGTTTTCTAGACAAGTTTCAGGTTGTTTCATGAATCGTTTGTGATTACTTTCATGTTGTTTCGGAAAGGTTTTGAGTAATTTGGACAACTTCTCATTGGTCTGGATAGATGTTTGGTCACTCTGGACCGCGTACAAAGATTTGTCTCTTCAACAACTCTTTGGGCCTTTGCACAAGTCTTGAGCTATTAAGTCACAGGTTTTATGTTGTTTTCCAACTCCTTTTGGACATATTTTTCATTATCTTAGACACATTTTTGTCAGTCTGGACACATTTTGAATCATTCTGGACTCTATTTGGGTCAATCTGAAAAAGCTTTTGACACTTTAGGAAAGTTTTTGCACAAACCTCAGTATGTAATTTTGGACAAGTTTTGAACGTCACGGTGTAGTTTGTCAGTTAGCTAACATTACTATTACCGTGTACGCAGGTCTCGGTGACTAAAGCTAACACACTCTGCACACCAGCTAAGACTATTAGTAAGCATTTGCTACCAAACCACCTCTCTATGACTTCCCTGGTGAGCAAAAAATATCTTTTAAATGTATTAATACAGATGTAGCTTGCTAGCTAGCTCGTCGGAACATCAGCGTTAATTGTAGCAAAGTCTGAGCAGCTAAAGCTAACACGCTCTGCACAATGGCTCAGACCATTTGTACATTTGCTAGCAGCTACTAAGCTAGCTCTCGATTTTTTTCCTGATGAGTGATGAACATATTTTAATTGTATTAACGCAGGTGTAATTTGCTAGCTAGCTAGTTAACATGTAGGGCGGTCTAAACAGCAAAAGCTAATATAGTGTGAACACTACGGTGGCCGGGAAGTAGAGAAGAAATTTACAAGTGACACAAACTCCCGAAACACTTGACCCACTTGATGGACAGCAACCGACTGATGTTTTGTCCGTTTTATGGAAACACACGAGCCGATTAACGCGGTGTTCTGGTCCATGCCCCTTAAAAATTGTAACGACCGACCAGACGAAAAACAAACCCGCGTGGTCGCTATCCACCACGAACTCCATAAATGACAAAACAACTCTTATTGGTCGCTCCCCGTTAAAACGTCCGGTTCAGTCCCAGAGTCGGTATCTTCCCTTCCCAGTTGATTTTACTTGTTAAAGTGTTTCAGGAGTTCGTAAAAGTGTTTCGCTACTTGTAAATTTCTTTTTGCACTTCCCAGCCACCGTAGAACACCGGCTAATACATCTAGCAATTATTTGCTAGCAGCTAGCGAGTTAGCTGTCTTATGTTTCTCTAAAGTACGTCTTAATGTGGCTCAGTAACATTTGCCTGATTGTAAAAACTTGATTATTTTGTCGACCACCATCAGCAGTAGTAGTTTGTGGTTAACCTGGACAGATTGGACACGTTTGGTGTCACTTTGGACACATTTCGAGGTATTTTGAACAATTTTTACGTCATTTTAAACTATTTGTGAGCAAGTTTCCATTTGTGGACACCTGCAGCATCATTCATCAAGTGCAAACCTTTAATTATAATAACGAATGTCAGTGATTTATGCTGAAGCGTTACAGGACGACTGGACGGATGTGGTCGAGGTTTGGATCAGTGTTGAAGTTGGACTAGTCGGCTGCAGAATAAGTTCGGATTTTAACTGGCAAACTGGCTCATTTAAGGTTTTCCAAGTCATTCTGGACATGTTATGTCAACTTGGACAGATTTCGGGTCATTCTGGACAATAGTCGGGTCAGGTTTTTGACACTTTGGACAGATTCTGAGCGATTCCAGGCAGCATTTGGGTCAATCGGACAAGTTTTTGTCACTTTGGGGAAGTTTTTGAGTCATTTTGTACAAACGTCAAACAGTAATTTTGGCTGGTTGTTTTGATGTTTGTGGTGAAGAGTTGAACCGACGTCCATGTTGAAGCTGACTGCAGGTTAAACCCCGTTCTGAAGTGGTCATTTATGATCCTACACGCATGACTTTTCGGTCAATGAATCTAAAACCATAGTTTGATGTTCACGTCTTACGGAATGGAAACACAAAATTATCCCCTTCAGTCGAGTAAACAATAAAAAAAAAACAGCGTCCCGTAAGGCCTCCGCATGCAGAGTAATGTGAGTCTGAGCTCAGTGTTTGGTTTCTGTTGTTACAGTGACGGCGTGTTAATTAGTACCAGGAGGCTGATTAAACCCTGCAGGGAAACTCCAGCACAACACAACACAACACAACACAACACAACACAACACAACACGACACGACAACGGGCTGCTGTCAGAGTCATCGACGTAAACAACAAGAAGTCAGCAGCTGCTTCCCAACATCACCTCAGAAAGTTTCAGAACTTCAAACGCTTGTCCATTAAATAGAATGAATCTCTTTCGTACACATTAGTCTGACATGATAGTTTTATTTATCTTCTTGGTTTTGTTCTCCTGACTTTAAACTTGCTGAACAAATCTGGTGGTTCTTTCACGTTTTACAACGTCTTACTGATAAACGGCGTCATTTTGGTGGTTTTCAAAGACAAACCGTCTTTCAAACTGCTGGGTTTTGGGGTTAAAACCTTATTCGGACCTTCAGGGGAAGTTTTAGTAGCAGCTCTGCTAAAAGGTCCCAACAATGAACGAGCAGTGAGATCTGTTCAGTATCATATTTAAGCTAGTTTGTCAAAAGCACCTTCACTTTTAGTGCATCCAGGTGTGATTTAAATCACGGCTAACGTGTCCCAAGTTCACCTGACAGACTTTTATTACCGGTTTTTTGTGTCATTTTGTAGTGATTTTGTGTCATTTTCTTTATTTGTGGTTGTTTTGTGTGTAACTTGGGTCTTTTTCTGATAATTTCGTGCATCTTAGTCGTCATTTTGTGTCTCGTGTTTTTTTTGTGCCTATATTTTGTCATTTTTCACCTTTTCGGAGTCATTTTGTGTCTTCTTGAGGTACTTTTGTGTTCTTGAGTCTCTGTTGGTTTTGTGTAATGCTCTTTCTGTTCATTTTACATCTTGTTATTTTCATTATTGTCTCCTTGTGGTTGTTTTGAGTCTATTTTTTGGTCATTTTACATCTTTGGAATCATTTTTTGTCTTTTTACTGCAATTTTGTGTTCTTGTCTCTCTTTGTGGTTGTTTTTTGTCACTTGTGTCGTTTTTGTGTCTTTTTGTGCTCATTGACCTGCTGTTACAGTTTCAGTATGTACAAGGAACACTTGTTTTGACCTAATTTTACCAAATCGACAAATATCAGAGGTACAGAAAAAGCTCCTGTAACTTTCAATCTGTGTGTTTCAGTGTCGGCTGTAATGTGATCAACTCTCAGGTGTATCAGTGACCAGCAACCTAATTGAATTAAAGGCTGCAGTGAGGCGTTCAGGGACCCTGGGATTGTGCAAAGAGGCTCCAGCCTGCACACCCGTTTCTATAGTCACTTCCTTTGGACCTGCAGGTGTTTCATTTAGCTGGTTTTCATCTTTTCAGCACGGAACAGATAACTGACGTTAATCATAACTTATAAAATACCTTCTGGTGTTCCTCAAGGATCGATGTTAGGGCCTCTGCTTTTTGATCTTAATCACCTTTAGGATCCAACTTCACCCCAGATCTGTTCAATCATATCTGGAGGTGATTGTTTTGATGAATATTTTAATTGTTTATTGATTTTCCACTATTTTGTTGAACTTGTTAGTGGTTTGGTTTTTAAAAAAAAGAAAG